ACAACAACAACAAAAAAAAAATCCAGACTTCCTGGCCTGACAGAGACTGGAGAAACCATGAGAGTATGGCCCCCGTACACCCTTTTAGCTCAGTACTGAATTTTCTCCTGAGGTTCACCCTTCAGCCAAAGGTTAGGCAGTCCCATAAAACAAAACAAGAGTAATGGGGCACAACAGCCCAAGGACAGGGATCAGAAGGCAGGAGGGGACGGGAAAGCTGTTAATAGGGAACCAAAGTTCGAGAAGGGAGAGTGTTGACATGTTATAGGGTTGTTAACCTATGTCATAAAGCAATATGTGTACTAACTGTTTAATGAGAAACTATTCTGTAAACCTTTATCTAAAGTACAATTTAAAAAAAATAGATTTGACGCACGAACACTAATGACCAAAGACCTGACACGTTGTGGGATGACATCAAGCACATCATACATGAGAAAAGCAAGAGGTCGTTAAAAAGGCACCAAAGAAAGAAAAGACCAAACTGGATGTCAGGAGAGACTCTGAAACTTGCTCTTGAACTTAGAGTAGCTAAAGCAAATGGAAAAAAATAGGAAGTAAAAGAGCTGAACAGAAGATTTCAAAGAGTGGCTTGAGAAGACAAACTATTATAATGAAATGTGCAAAGACCTGGAGTTAGAAAGCCAAAAGGGAAGAACACACTTGGCATTTCTCAAGCTGAAAGAATTGAAGAAAATATTCAAGCCTCGAGTTGCAGTATTGAAGGATTCTGCAGGGAAAATATTGAACGACACAGGAAGCTTCAAAAGAAGCTGGAAGGAATACAGTCACTGTTTCAAAAAGAATTGGTCGAAGTTCAGCCATTTCAGGATGCAGCATGTGATCAAGAACCTATGGTACTGAAGGAAGAAATCCAAGCTGCACTGAAGGCATTACCAAAAAACAAGGCTCCAGGAACTGATGGAATACCAATTGAGGTGTTTCGACAAACGGATGCAACGCTGGAGGTAGTCACTTGTCTATGCCAAGAAATTTGGAAGAGAGCTAGCTGGCTAACTGACTGGAAGAGATCCATATTTGTGCCCATTCCAAAGAAAGGTGAGCCAATCGAATGTGGAAATTATCAAACAATATCATTAATATCACATGCAAGTAAAATTTTGCTGAAGATCATTCAAAAGCGGTTGTGGCAGTACATCGACAGACAGTACATCAAGCCAGATTCAGACGAGGACATGGAACGAAGGATATCATTGTTGATGTCAGGTGGATCTTGGCTGAAAGCAGAGAATACCAGAACATGTTTAACTGTTTTATTGACTATGCAAAGGCATTGGACTGTGTGGATCATAACAAATTATGGATAACATTGTGAAGGCTAGAAATTCCAGAACACTTAATTGTGCTCATGAGGAATCTGTACATAGACCAAGAGGCAGTCTTTTGAACAGAACAAAGGGATACTGCATGGTTTAAAGTCTGGATAGGTGTGCGTCAGGGTTGTATCCTTTCACCATACTTATTCAATCTGTATGCTGAGCAAATAATTCAAGAAGCTGGACTATATGAAAAGAATGTGGCATCAGGATTGGAGGAAGACTCATTAACAAACTGCAACATGCAGATGACACAACCTTGCTTGCTGAAAGTGAAGAGGACTTGAAGCACTTATTGATGAAGATCAAAGACTACAGTCTTCAGTACAGATTATACCTCAACATAAAAGAAAAATTCTCACAAATGGACCAATAAGCAACATCATGATAAACGGAGAAAAGATGGAAGTTGTCAAGGATTTCATTTTACTTGGATCCACAATCAACGCCCATGGAAGCCACAGTCAAGAAATCAAACGACGTGTTGCATTGGACAAATCTGCTGCAAAAGACCTCATTAAAGTCTTCAAAAGCAAAGATGTCACTTTGAGGACTAAGGTGCACCTGACCCCAAGCCATGGTGTTTTCAATCGCCTCATATGCATGTGAAAGCTGGACGATTAATAAGGAAGACAGAAGAATTGATGACTTTGCATTATGGTGTTGGTGAACAATATTGAATATACCATGGACTGCCAGAAGAACGAACAAATCTGTCTTGGAAAAAGTACAGCCAGAATGCTTATTGGAAGCAAGGACCGAGAGAAGTCATCTCACCTAATTTGGACATGTTATCAGGAGGGACCAGCCCCTGGACAAGGACATCATGCTTGGTAGAGGGTCATCGAAAAAGAGGAAGACCCTCAACGAGATGGATTGACACAGTGGCTGCAACAATGGGCTCAAGCATAACAACGATTGTGAGGATGGCGCAAGACCCAGCAGTGTTTAGTTTTGCTGTACATAGGGTCAGTGCGTCGTAGCCGACTCCACCGCACCTAACAACAACATATGGGAATTACGATTTACGAGTTACATTAGTACAAAAAACATTACTAAGAATTCTGTATGGTCTAGTAGGGTAGGAGGTCCATGGGGTGGGCGGTGACACCAACCCCAGCGCCACCCCCCACACCCCACTCCAGCCAGGTGTTAAACATGTACTTGCACACTACCGCAACTTAGGCCACCCTGTCTTTGCCCCTTTGATTTTCAGGGTATTCTATTTTCCTGACAGTGTTGTAATTAACATTCTTGTTGGTTTGTCCTGAGGCAAACGGCTAACAGGTGTTTTGAGGCTTGCATCAACGAAGAACCTCTCCCGCGGTCGTCCGGCTCGGAATCGGCCGGAGCGGGGCGGGGCATAGGACGCCGAGGCTCCGCCCCCGCCGAGGCTCAGGCTCTGTTTGCTCCGCCTCTCACGCCACCATCGCCGCCGCCGCCGCCGCGGTCTGTCGCGACCTGTGCTAAACGCGTGCGGCCCATGGTGCTTTCCCGGGGAGCCATGGCTGGTAAGTGCGCCGCTCGGCCGGCGGCCCAACCACCTTTCGGAGGGGCGGGTGCGGCGCCGGCGGAGCGGAGTCCCTCGCCAGCTCAGCCCCTCGGCTCTGCTCCAGGTCCCTGCCGTGTCCGTGGCCTTTCCTGTCCCGGGTGCCCACGGGCCTCCAGGCCGGGAGGCGGGGAAGGGAGGAGGGCGGTCGGGCCGCCCGGAGCATTTCCGGCGGTTCCAGACTTCAGGGAGCCCAGGCCTTCCGCCTCGCTCCACTCCGCGCGCCACTTGCGTCCGGTCGCGCAGTGTTTCTTGGCGACTTCCGGGCCACCCGCTCCAAAATCACCTGCGCGGGAGGGGTGTGTGCTCGTTAACAATCCAAGTTCTGCACTCCAACCCCGACACAAAAAGCCGAGTCCCTGGGAGTAGGCTTTGGATTCTGCATTTTCAGTAAAACCAGGTAGTTTTTTTTTTTTTAATTGTACTTTAAGTAAAAGTTTACAATTCAAGTTAGTCTCTCATACAAAAATTTATACATACATTGTTATATGATCCTAATTGCTTTCCCTGTACCGTGACAGCACATTCCTTCCTTTCCACCCGTTATTTCTCTTGTCCATTCAACCAGCTCCTCACCCTCTTTGCTTTCTCATCTTACCTCCCGACAGGAGCTGCCCATTTAGTCTCATGTATCGTCAGTAAAACCAGGTAGTTCTGATACACTTCTTCAAGTGTGAGTACTTCTGCCTTATGGGATCCTTGAAGGATTCTTATGTTTTTGCATTAGAAGCCAGCCATCCAGCGAGGTTTCTTTCACCCTCTTCCCCACAGATTGATATTTGAGCTTGGACTTTGCAAAAGTATCTGCCCTATTTGTGATTTGAGCCATGTCACATGAAAACGAGGCGCCCATTTTGTTTGATTTGAGCTGGATGGTAAGAACCAGTAGCCCTGGCGTCGATTCTGACTGCGGACTGGGTGATTTGCACCACCCTCACCCTTAGGGCGGAATGCCCCGCTCTCCTGGGCAAAAAACTGGGGAAGTTGTTTCTGCATCTGGACATTGAGCTTGCGGGTGAGGTATTGCTTGATATGTGCACATTCCCATGCTGGACCGTCTGGGTTCACTTGCAAGGCCTCTGGGATGAGTTTCCAGCTATGTTTGCCCTAGCGCCTTTTTGTTACCTGAGCCAGTGGAGTGCTCTTGACTCAGGGCCTGGAGACTCAGTCTTGGCTCAGCCAACAGCTTTCCTTGGGATATCAACAAAATCTTTTCATCTCTCAGGACCTCAGTTTCCTGACCTGTAAAATGGACATTAACTGCCTTTACTGAGGTCTTTTGAAGCTGCCGTGAAATACTGAGTGTGGATGTGCTTTCTGTTTTCCGTTTCAAACTGCTGGAGCAGTGCATGTTGGCGGCTGAGTGTTCAGGATTGGAATATAGAAGTCCTTTAACACACCTGGGGTGAGGGTGACTGGGAGGGCATGACAGAGGCAGATGGGCTGGAGAGCTGTGGTTCTCGATGGTGGGGGTTGAGGATGGGGTAGATCTGGCTCCCTGAGGAGTGTTTTCAAGTTAGTGACCCCTGCCTCCCCTCTCCAAAAAAAAAAAAAAAAAGGTGCCACATGGTTCTGCCTCCCCATCCCATTGTATAGTTCCAGATTTTGGCTTTAATAATATCTCACAGATGTTATGTGTGTAAAGAACCTGTTATGTCCCTAAGTGTAGTTACTATGTTGTTCTTTTCACTTAAGATACTTTGTTCTTTCTTTTCCCCTTAGTAAGTCTTCACTGTTAGATTACAGTGACTATTAGGGCAACCAGGGACTCTAAAAGTCATTGTATGTTCATTTATGGATGAGGAGATAAAGTGCCTAGTATCTCATCCTCGGCATGGCCCAACTCCCCAGTGGTGGAATTTCTCTGCCGTGGCACATCTGTGGAGTGTGGTGATTTGCAGAGCGCCAGGCAGGCCCAAGCCTAGTTAGGACCGCTGCCGTTATGGGTGGGAGGGGAAGAGGGGAGCCATCAACACAGCCACGGTGGGCTTCATCTTCCAGTCCCTCAGAAACAGGGACAAAGCCCAGCTCCTGAGTGACAGTGGAGACCTTTAGTAGGTCTGTGATGTTGTGATAGCTCGAGGTGCCTGTTTACCCCAAAGGATTCCCAGCTTTTATTTCCTATTTCAGGTTCCCTTGTTTTCATCCAGATTCTGAGATGATTTAACAAGCTACATTCAGGGATAAATTGAGCTCTTCTCACTATATTTAGGAAAGACGGAGGAATGGGACATCTGAGTTTTCTTACTTTTAGGGTTAACCCTGAACCAAACAGGCCTCCTCAAGGCCTGGGTCTGTGAGTGTTGCCTCTTCTGGGAATGTTTGCCCTGTTACAGGAGACGCCAGAGAGTGGCTCTCTAATGGTGGGGTTTTCAGACTCTGGAGCAGGGATGGTGTAGGTAAGTTAGGGCAAAAACCAGTTGCCTTCAAATTGACAGCAACTCATGGCCACCCATGTGTGTCAGATTGGAACCATGTTCTATAGGGTTTTCAGTGGCTTATGTTTCAGAAGGAGACCATCAGGCCTTTCTTCTGAGGAGCCTCTGGGTGAACTTGAATCTCCAACCTTTTGATTAGCAGTGAAATGCATTAACCATTTACACCACCTGGGGACACCAAGTTAGAGCGAGCCACTGCTAAAACGTCCTGAAGTTTTGCAGAACTTTATAGGTTACAATGTGCTTTGGCTCCTTTACTGCAGCCTCCCATCCGACCATGAACAGGGACTGTGCCAGTCAGGGCCCAGGAAGGACATGGAACTGTACCAGTAATTTGAATAGGGGAAAGTTAATATGAAGAATTATTAACCACCAAAGTGATTACTATGTGTTTTAGTTATCTAGTGCTACTATAACAAATACCACAGGTGTATGGCTTTAACAAACAGAACATTTTTTCTCACAGTCTTGGAGGCTAGAAGTCCAAATTCAGGACACCAGTTCTAGGGGAAGGCTTTCTCTCTTTGTCGGCTCTTGGGGAAGGTCCTTGTCATCAGTCTTCCCCTGGTCTAGGAGCTTCTCAGTGCAGGGACCCCAGGTCCAAAGGATGTGCTTCGCTTCTGCTCTTCTTGGTTGGTGGTAATGAGGTCCCTCTTGTCTCTGCTTGATTCTCTTTTTTATATCTCAGAAGAGATTGACTCAAAATACAACCTGATCCTGTCTCATTAACATAACTGCCTCTAATACTGCCTCATTAACATCATAGAGGTTAGGATTTACAACTCACAGGATAATCACATCAGATCACAAAAGGGTGGACAAGCACACAATACTGGGAATCATGGCCTAGCCAAGTTGATGCACATTTTTTGGGGGACACAATTCAATCTATAACACTATGAGAGCTAGAAGACCATGCTAAAGAATATAGGGATAACAAGTGTAGGGTGCAGCTATTCCGTCAAGGAAGGAATAAATTTGGAAGAGCCCCTGACCTCCTCAGCCCAAGGGTGAGATTTAACCTTAGTAGCAGGGCTGGCTACATGATTTTCAGGATGCTTTCCAAAATGAAAGTGGAGTCCCTTGTTCAGAAAGCAGGAAAAAAATACTGTTAACTTGCCATGGTGTTTTTAATTTGCTGTTGACATTGTACTCCTTTGGGTACAGCATTATTCGTGGGGTTAGTGCAGACCCTCCCAGGTGACCAGGGCCTGCCCTGTGACTCAGACCACGAGCAGCCTGTCCACTGCCAGGCGCCCCCTTCTGTCAGCTGCCGGACCAACTCAGTGTGTCCCAGCCACTGGTGAGGAAGTTGTGACAGGCATCTCCCCTTCCCATGGGCCCGCTGCCCCAATTCACAGCAGGTGGGCAACTTCAGGAGTTTGCAACTTCTGTGCTGGGATGAGCCCCTGGATCGGGGGTGGATGGGAGACCCAAGGACAAATAGTAAGCAATAGAATTCACATTCAGTCTTCTTACTTCAAGCCAAGTTCTCATTTCACTCCCCATACTACATGGTGAGAAGCTGACCCTGCCTGCTTTACTTCAGATTCTTGGGCCTGGCACAGGGCTTTGTCCATGGATCTTGCTCTGTCTCAGGGTTTCTCACCACAGCAGTATTGACATTTTGCACCGGCCGGTTCTTTGTTGTGAGATGCTGTCCTGTGCACTGCAGGATGTTTAGCAGAATCCCAGCCTCTATCCATTAGATACCAGTAGCCCCCAACAAGTCATGACAGTGAAAAATATCTCCGCATTGCCCCATGTCCCCTGGGGGCAAATTTATCCTCTGTTTGAGAACCACGACTCTTATTTGAATTAGCACTCAGGTCTGCTGACACCTATTTTTTATCTTTGCCCTCAGCTTTCCGCTTGGCCCTCATTCAGCTTCAGGTTTCTTCCATCAAATCGGATAACGTCACTCGAGCTTGTGGCCTTGTCCGAGAGGCAGCAGCACAAGGAGCCAAAGTCATTTCTCTGCCGGTAAGTGTAGAGGAAGCCATCCCTTTCTGGGAGCTGTAGAGCCGACAGAATAGTGTTTGCTATCCCTGGTTGTGCTTTTGTGTCCCAAGGTCTAGTAAGGCCCCTTGGGGCCCAGGAGGTTTCCACATTAATGGATGATGACCCCAGCAAGGGTCTTTGTGACAGGACATGCCAACGTGGTTGTAGGTCTTTAACTTTAGGATCATCTTCTCTGTTCAGATGAGGAAGCCAAAGTCCCAGTAAGTTGAGGAACTTACTTAAAGCTGAAATACTCAGAACCCTGGATACTTACCTTTGTTTCTTATGTAATTAAGTCTTTCCAGGACCAGGACATATCGGTTTTAACACTAAGCCTCCAACATTAGAAAAGAATGAAAATGATTAGAAACGTTTAGGAAGTCTGTGGCATCTTAAAGCCAGTAGGGCTCTGTCTCTTTCTGAGGTAGTTTCTTTGAGAACAGAACCAGCTGAAGGTTGGCCACATTTCTTTGTCATCAAGTCCAGGGCTAGCCCTCGAGAGGGCCGCCGCAGATGTCAGCACATGCATCTACTGGTGTCTTCTCCAAAGACCTGACGACCATCAGTGGGTGGACTTATTCCAGATGGCCTCCTGACACCCATCCCCCACTATGGGGAGGAGGCAGTCCTTTGCACACCCCGTGTAGACAGACTGGAGAATTTTCAGGACCACCTTATATTTTGTTTAGACCCCAGTCCATCACAGATGGGGCCAATGAGCAGGAATCTTTAACAAGGGAGCCAGAGGTCTTAATGTTAAGCCAGTCTTCCTTATGGCTCCAGTCAGGATTCACCTGTACTTGTGCCCTGATCGCGGTCTCTCATTGGTTGATGTTGCCAAGGTCAGGAGAAGCAGCCCAGGAGTCAAAGCATTCACATTTTGCACTTGCCCCCCTCACTGCCTGTCCAGCACGCGTCTTGTACAAGCAGCTGTCCCCGGGCTTGAGGTTCCTGGCACAGTGCCTGGGACACGAGATCTCAGTAAATGCAAAATGTATGAGTGAGAGTCTTAAGTCTAGTAATTATTGCCTTCTGAAATATCTGAGAACTGCTGACGACAGTCATACCCTGGGTGGGATGAGAGACTTCATAGGATCCGAATGATAGTGCTGGAAGGGAATTTAGAAACACCTCATTTTACAAATGAGGAAGCGTCTTAACCTCTCTGGCTTTCAAAGGTTATGTGTTTTTTCAAAAACAGACTTACTGCTTTACATAGTTAGTAATTACAATTTTGAGCCTATGAGTTCATCCTAAAACCCAAAATCATATGAGTAAGTGCAGTTATAGTAGGTCCTGTGTCCTAGTTTGTTAGTGCTGCTGTAACAGAAATACCACAAGTGGGTGGCTTTAACAAGAGTTTTATTTTCTCAGTTTAGGAAGCTAGAAGTCTGAATTCAGGGCGCCAGCTCTAGGGGAAGGCTCTCTGTCTGCTCTGGGGGCAAATCCTGGTCTCAGCTTCTCTAGCTTCTTGGTGTTCCTTGGAAATCTCCCTGTGACATCTGTCTTTCCCCGATTCATGCTTGCTTGCTTCTGTGCCTAATTTGCCCTTTTAATATCTCAAAAGTGGTTTAAGACACATTGTGCACTGATATAGCCTCATTAACAGAACAAAGAAAACCCTATTCTCAAATGGGATTACACCCACAGGTGTGTAGGGGTTAGGATTTACAGTACGTATTTTTGGGGGATGTAATTCAATCCATAATATCCTAGATACCCAAGTTTAGGGACTAGTTGTTCTGGCAAAGACAGCTCTGGCCTCTGCCAGGCTGACCATGATCAGGTGGAGCACACAGGACTAATCTGTAGCTCCACCTGAACCAGTTGTTGAGGCCTGTCTGTGGCCACAGGCTCTGTAGCCCTGAGGTATTAGCATTGTCCTTAGCAGAGCTAAAAGCAGCAACTGTCTTATAGCAGAATATTAAAATGGGTTGAATATTTTGGTAGTTTTTTTCCCCCTCTTTTTTTCTGCCAATGTTATTCTAGGAATGTTTTAATTCTCCATATGGCTTGAAATATTTTCCTGAATATGCAGAGGAAATTCCTGGTGAATCCACACAGAAGCTTTCTGAAGTAGCAAAGGAGTGCAGCATATATCTCATTGGAGGTAATTACCCTTCTGCAAGGTATAATGGCCTAAACATTGAAAACGTCAGAATGACCGTTCTTGTTGCATTTAAACTGGGAAATACAATTTAGCCATTGAAAAGAATGAGGCAGATCTATATGTAATGTGGAAAGATTTGCAAGACTCATTGTTAAGTGAAAAAAGCGAGTTGAACATGATATGAACAAGTTATTTCCATTCAGATTAATGCCACACACAAAAGAAGACTATATATAATTTATATCTGGGTTTGTATGTAGAGTGGAGCCCTGGTAGTGCAGTGGTTAAGCGCTCAGCTGCTAACCAAAAGGTCGGTGGTTCGAGCACGCCAGCTGCTCTGCGGGAGAAAGTTGTGGCAGTCTGCTTACTTAAAAAGATTTACAGCCTTAGAAACCCTATAGGGCAGTTCTGGTCTGTCCTATAGGGTCACTGTGAATCAGAATCGACTTGATGGCAGTGGTTTTTTTTTTTTTAATGTATGTAGACGCATAGTAAATGCTGTAGAAGGACACACACCAAACTGATGATGATTTTCCCCGGAAGGAGTGGGATTAGAGAGACAGGTGTCAACACAACTTTTGCTGTAGTAGTAGTGGAAATGTGGAAGGAGAAATCACATCTGAGTGTCTTCATTCAACTAATACTGGGTTGTTTTTTCTCCCCCGTAAAGAGGCCACATACATAAGCCAACTAAACGAAACCCACTGACGTGAAGTCGATTCCAACTCATAGCAACCCTACAGGACAGAGTAGAACTGCCCCATAGGGTTTCCAAAGTTGTAATCTATTTGGAAGCAGACTGCCACATCTTTCCTCCAAGGAGCAGCTAATGGGTTCAAACTATCGACCTTTTGATTAACAGTCGAGTGCTTTAACCATTGCACCACCAGGGTTCCCGTATACGTAAAGGTAGCTTTATTTATGTGGTTTTGAAATAAATTTCAAATGTTCTCTTTGTTTAAATAAAAAGTAAGCACAGTAAAACTCTGCTCAATAAATGTAGGAAACAAAATTATTTCTGTATTAAGGATTAAAAATGAATTTAAAAAAAAAAACCAGTTGCTGTGAAGTCAGTTTCAACTCAGTCGTGACCCCATGTGTATCAGAGTAGGGCTGTGTTCCATGGGGTTTTCAGTGCCTGATTTTTAGAAGTAGATCACCAGGCTTTTCTTCCAGGGTGCCTCTGGGTGGACTTGAACTTCCAACCTTTTGGTTAGCAGCAGAGCACTTAACCATTTGCACCACCCAGAAGTCCAGAAATGAAGGCAAAGCAAGAGACACAGAGATAGAACTACAGGAACCATGTTCACCGATGGAGAGATTTATGGCTTAACATTCCTGTCTTGAGGCCTTTTTGGACACAGTTCTGTTGCAGGACCTGGTGAATTTTAATTTGAGCAACAGGAAATTCCTCCATTTTGTTCTAATGTTACAGATTAAGTGTTGCTCAAGAGAAAGGCTGAATTTCAGGAACAGTTTGGTTATTTTTTAAATCTATCTTTGGCATCCGATCTAACTATATTTTGTCTGCACTCTAGAGTTTCTCTCTGAAAGATTATATTCAAGAAGAAAAAAAAAACCTCATGATTAAATAACCCTTAAAAGATAGTAAACTTTATTGTTAGACCCAAGTGACAATTCATCGAACCTTTATTGAGTTACCACAAAAAAATTGCTTTATTCAGAATGTTTTGTGTGCCTGTGCATTTCTCCCCTCAATGAAAGGTTCCATTCCTGAAGCAGATGCTGGGAAATTATATAACACATGTGCCGTGTTTGGGCCTGATGGAAATTTACTGGTAAAACACAGAAAGGTAAGTAGGAAATTTGGCAAGCCTTGTTGCCTGTAGAAAATTTGCTATGAAGTCTCCTAGTCTCTCTCATCATGTTATATACACAGCAGGCATTTGGTTTATTGGCAGAGTGGACTATTCTTGATTGTTGGTATTTTTATATAAATTTTACACTTCCCCTTCTGCAAAGGAAAAACCTACAGGAATTTTGATTAGGATTGAGGTGAATGTTTATAGATGGGCCAGAGTTGCCATCTTTGCAGTATTAAATGCATATACGTTTAAGATTGTCAAGTCTTCTGATGAATTGATTATCATCAGGAAATGTCCCCTTTATTGCTTGTAATACTTCTTGTGATGAAGTCTGTTTTATGTCTAATATTCCTATAGTCACTCCAGGTTTCTTACGTTTACTGTTTGCATGGTACATCCTTTGCTAATCTTTTATCTTCAACCTTGTCTTAGTCATCTAGTGCTTCTGTAACAGAAATACCACAAGTGGATAGCTTCAATGAAGAGAAATTTATTCCGTCACAGTCTAGTAGGTTACAAGTCCAAATTCAGGGCGCGAGCTCCAGGGGAAGACTTTCTCTGTTGACTCTGGAGAAGGGTCCTTGTCATCAGTCTTCCCTTGATCTGGGAGCTTCTCTGCACAGGAACCTCAGGTCAAAGGACGCGCTCTGCTCCTGGCACTACTTTCTTGGTGTTATGAGGTTCCCATGTCTCTCTGCTCGCTTCTCTCTTTTATATCTCAAAAGAGATTGGCTTAAGACACTACCTAATCTTGTAGACCTCATCACTATAACTGCCGCTAATCCATCTTATTACATCATACTGATAGCATTTACAACACATAGGGAAATCACATCAGATGATAAAATGGTAGACAGTCATACAATACTGGGAATCATGACCTAGCCAAGTTGGCAGATACTTTTGGGGGACACAATTCAATCCATGAATGACAAACCTCTTTGTGTCTTTATATTTAAAATGGTTCTCTTGTAGACAACATATAGTTGAGTCTTGCTTTTTTATTAATTCTGACAATCTCTGCCTTTTAATTGGAATGGTTAGTCCATTTATATTTAATTATTGATATTGTTGGACTTAGGTCTGCAGACATTTTCCTTTCTTTTTTCTCCTTTTCTGCATTATTTTGGGTTAATGGAAATTTTTTGTAATTCCATTTTAATTTATCTATTGGCTTTTTAGTCATAGATTTTTGCATTATTCTTTTAATTGTTGCCCTAGGGATTATAATATGCATACTTAACTTGTTAAAGTCTACTTAGAATTACTATTGTACCACTTCGTGTAAAATGAAGAACCTTGCAGTTGTGTGGGTCCATTTTCTATCTCCGCTCCCCCATTCTATATGCTATAGTTGTCATACATATTGCATTTACACATATTATAAATTCCACGAAACACTGTTTTATTTAAGTAGCCTTATGTATTTTAAAGACATTAACAGTAAAATATAGTCTTTTATATTAACCCAAATGTTTATTATTTCTGGTATTTTTCTTTTCTTCTTGAAGATCCTGGTTTCTGTCTGGTCTTTCCCTTCAGACAGAAAGTCCTCTTTTACATTTCTTATACTAAGGATAAGCTATCTATGAATTCTCTTAGTTTTTGTTAATGAATGTATCTTTATTTTGCCTTCATTCTTCAAAGTTAGTTTTTTCTAGTTACAGAATTCTGGGCTGACAGTTTTCTTTTCTCCTCAGCAGTTTAAAAGACATTCAGTTGTCTTCTAACCTCTCTCTCTCTCTCTTTCTAAGAAGTCAGTGGTATTTTGTATTGTTGTTTGCCTTTGTGTAATTTGTTGTTTTTCTATGCCTGCTTTCAATATTTTGTCAGTTATTTTTGGTTCTCAGTATTTTGACTCTGATGTGCCTAGGTGTGGTTTTCTTTTCATTTATCCTGCTTCTTGTATCTGTAAGTTTGTCTTTCAACCACATTTGCGAAATTTTTGGATATTATTTTGTTAAATATTTTTCTGTCCTATTCTCTCCTCCTTTGGGACTCTAATACTTGTATGTTAATACTTTTTGATATTGTTCCACAGGTCACTGAGGCTCTGTTGGTTTTTTCTTTTTCAATCTTTCTGTCCTTCAGATTGAACAATTTCTTTTGATCTGTCTTCAAGTTCACTGACTCTTTCATTATCTCCAATTTCTTATAAGTTAATTCACTGAAATTTAAAAAAATTTCATATATTGTATTTTTCAGTTCTAAAATTTCCATTTGGTTATTTTTATAGTTTTCATTTCCTACTAAGATTTTCTATTTTGTTTATTCATCAGGAGCTTTTTTTTTTTTTTAAACACACCCTTGAGCTCAGTTTCAACAGCTGCTTTAAATTTTTTGTCTGGTAACTATCACATCTGGGTCATGTTGGGGTCTGTCTCCGTTAATTGCCTCTCTTTGGAGTAGGGGGTTCACATTTTCCTGTTTATGTATCTAGTAATTTTTGATTTTATACTGGACTATATGTAGATATTCTTGATTCTATTATATTGCTCCAAAAAGTGTTGACACTTTTTATTTTAGCAGGAAGTTCACTTGGCTGTTCTCAAATGCCAAATTGTTTCCTTTGTGAGGCGGGCAGCAGCTTTAGCTCCTCTTTTGAGTTGCTTAGCCTTAGCTGAGTGCTTGGAGTCTGCCCCACTCATTTAATTCAGTGATCAGCTGGAGATTTGGACAGATTTTATATCCAAATTTAGTGCTCTTGCTGTTTAGCTTTCTCCTTTTTAGTATTTCCCCCTTCATTTCTTAGTTCCTATGAAACCCTGTCTTGTACAAGCCAATAAGATTGTACGTAGTTTTCACCACTGCTGGTACCACCAACCGGAGCCTGCGCTCAGGCTAAAAGCCATGAAAGGGAAACTCACTCAGTGGTATTCCCTTTTTCCAGGTGTTAACTTTACTTCAGTTTTTGCCTGCTTGTGGTCACTCTCCAGTGCTTTTAAGTAGTTATGTTTTTTTTTTTTTTGTCTAGAGTTCATAGTTAACTGTGAGAGAGTTAGTCTGACAGGAGCTGCCTCTGCCCTTACTGAATAAAGAATCCACATTGGGCTATTTAACCCAACTCTTTGAAGCACATTTTTTGAGTGTTCAGTTTTCCTGTCCACAAGTATGGTATTTATACCTCCAATTATTTAGGCTTTCTTTATTTTCTCTCAATTTTTTAAATATATTTTTGTATACCTTTTGTTAGATTTATTCCTAAGTGGTATATTTTGATGCTCTTTCATTTTCTGTTTCTTGCTCCTATATAGAACAACTAATTTTTAAAATACTGATCTTGTATATGGTGACCTTGCTAAACTCACTTATTAATTCTAATTAGTAGAATTTTTTAGAGTTTCTAGGTATACAATTAGGTCACCTAAGAATAACAACAATTTTAATTTTATTTCCAATCCTTATACTTTGTATTCCTTTCTTTTGCTTTGTTGCTCTGTTTATTAGTACAAATGTTGAAGAGCAGGTGTCTTTGTCTTGTTCCCAATCTCAGAGGGAAAGTTTTCAATGCTTTACCATTAATTATGACGTTTGTTGTAGGTTTTTTGCACAAATACTCTTTATCAGAGTATGGAAGTTTCCTTCCTAGAGAAGTATTTTTTTTTTTAAATTGTACTTTAGGTGAAGGTTTACAGAACAAATAGTTTCTCATTAAACAGTCAGTACACATACTGTTTTATGACATTGGTTAACAACCCCACGACATGTCAACCCCCTCCCTTCTCGACCATTTTTTTTCTTTTTTTTTTTTTTTTTGGGTGAAAATAACACATAGCCAAAGATACACCATTTCAAAAATTTCTACATGCACAGTTCAGTGACATCCATTACGTGCTTCCAGCTGGGCTGCTATTCTCACTTTAGATGAAGGTTTACAAATAGAATAGTTTCTCATTAAACATGTTGCCCTATGACCATGGTTAACAACCCCACTACATGTCAACACTCTCCTTACTCAACCTTGGGTTCCCTATCACCAGCTTTCCTGTCCCCTTCTGCCTTCTAATCCTTGTCCCTGGGCTGCTGTGCCTCATTAGTCCTGTTTTGTTTTATGAGGCTGTCCAGTCCCCAGCTGAAAGGTGAACCTCGGAAGTGACTTCACCACTGAGCTAAAAGGGTGTCTGTGGGCCATTCTCTCGGGGTTTCTCCAGTCTCTTTCAGGCCCTAGAAAAGTTTTTTGATCTTGTGTTTTTATGATCATGAATGGATGTAGAAGTTTACCAGATGCATATTATGTATCTCTTAAGATGATCATATCATTTTTTTCTTTTGTTAGTGTGAATTACATTGATTTTCTAATGTTAAACCATGTTTGCTTTCCTTGCATAAATCCAATTTGGAAGTGATGCGTTGTTCTTTCTATAAGTTGCTGGATTTAGTTTGCAGACTTTTACCTATTTTTAATCCTCACCCACTCTTCACCTCTCCTGCCCGTATATCAGTTTGAGATTGATTCAGAACACTTTCTTAGACTCTGAGCAGTCTTTATCTAGCATTTGTATTGAGTGAAAAAGCAATACATTAATGACTTGCCACGAGAACCATGGACGTTGATTTGCACACTACTTAGAAAAGAGGCATTGTAAACTGACAGCATCCTTTTTCCAGTTTCCTGTAGTAGATTTCATTTTTATGTCAGCCAGCTTGTGGAGTGGATTGTGGGGAGGTTTGGGGTGCTGTTTGTACAGGTGGTCTTAGAGCACCCCCATGTCTGCCCGTGGGAAGATGCCTGTAATTACTGCTGTGTGCCCCACTTGACAAGAGGTAACCAAGTCGCTTATTTGTGATGCAGATCCATCTGTTTGACATTGATGTTCCTGGGAAAATTACATTTCAAGAATCTAAAACATTGAGTCCTGGTGATAGTTTCTCCACATTTGATACTCGTACGTACCAGATTAAGTTTGGCTCTTTTAGCAATCCCAGTAGAAGAGGATCAGGTATTCCTTTCTTTTTCTCTTAAGTTTCTCCCCAATTACCTCACATAACCTGACTGAAAGGCCAGAAGTGAGAAGAGCAAGGAATAGTTGCCTACTGGAAAGGTCAGGGTGAGTGGAGTATAAGGGTTTGACATAATTTTGCTCTTCCATTTGGTCATAGCCTCCTACTAGTGTGACAGCTTCCCAAGTGTACCTGTTAGGCCAGACTGAACACCTCCCACTTAGATAAGCATTCAGTTAGTATGAATGTCTCGTCTCTACTCTGCTGACATAAATGATGTCTTTATGGGGTGAAGTCCAAGCATGAATGAGCTTATATATTGTCCCCAGCCATGGGTCCTGTGTTAATTTATGCCTCTCAGTGTTTTGTGAAGTCATGGAGGCATTGCCACACCATGCTGCAGGAGCTTAACTTTTTACTTGTGTCTTTTCTGTCTGAAAAACAGCTTACTGCAGAGTAGGCCTGGGCATCTGCTACGACATCCGCTTTGCAGAGCTTGCGCAAATCTATGCGCAGAGAGGTGAGGAGGCGCCACAGCTGTGTTCTGTAGGTGCATGGAGTTTATTTCCAGGCTGGTCTCTGTGGGGTGGAGAGAGCCCTTAGTCAAAAAGGCTGGGGGAGGGTTCTTAATCTCCTTAGCCCTAATTCCTCCACCCCCACATTGCTTCTCAGACTTTCACTGCGTATGCCTTGATAGGGTTTTGGGGGGTTGTGATTTAACACATATGCTAAGGCAGGAGCCATGTCTGCTCTACCCTTTGAGCCCTTCCTGCTACTACTGTGTTTGGAAAGAGTGACTTGGAGCCCAGTAGAAATGAATAACTGGTGTGCATGCTCATGGATTTCACTGCTTAGTAGCCTTAGACCTTGGGTAGCAGTGGAAATGTTGTCCAGACAAGCAGAGGTGACCTGGTGTCCTGGCAGAACATCGGGCCAGTTCAGAAGATCTGGGTTCTGGTTCTGACTCTTCCCCTTAATTGGTACAGTAACTTCAGGTAGATCATTTAACCTCTAGAGCAGTGGTTCTCAGTTTCCTCATAGGAACGGTATGAGGACTAAGGAGAAAACTTAAAAAGCTCCTTGTGTACTGCTCGGCAAATATTAGCATCCCTGCTAGACCCCCGAGGCCACTTCCAATTCAGCTCTCACTTAAATAACAGAAGTGGGTGCAGATGGTGTGACTGCCTGGTCAGCAGACGTAGAGGTGCACGGGATACAGGACTGAGGGTATCTGTTGAGTCTCATCAATAAGTGTTAGTTTACTGCCCCTAATTTCAGTTGAAAAGAAATAGAGAGCAGGTCCTTGTCCATGCGGAGCTGGCCGTATGTTGCTGAGAGAAATTTGGATGACGGTTCCGCTCTGCTTTTTTTAAGCAAAGTCATATGTTGTGACTTCTGTCATCAATACCGCTTTTCTTGGGTGTCTGTATGTGTTTTATGTGTGTGTCTCTAAAGGAATTCAGTGCCATATCTTAATGCTGCTGATGTTGTTTGACTTGGCTAACATTTTTATGCTTGAGAAAGTTGGAGTTTGTTCCCATCTGGGTAAGGAACAAAGGGAGGGACAAGTGTGGTTGAGTATTCACCTGCATCCACTGTTCTTTGGCCTTTCTCTCTCCAAGGCTGCCAGCTGTTGGTATATCCTGGTGCTTTTAATTTGACCACTGGACCAGCCCACTGGGAGTTGCTTCAGCGAGGCCGGTAAGAAAGGAACCATATCTTCAAGCATCTCAGTGTCTCCTCTCTGAGGAAAAATCTCCAGTGGAAGTACCAGCCTCCCAATACAGAATTCTGCCCCTGACTCAGGATGCCCCTGCACCCAAATGCAGTTAGAAAGGATGAATCTGCTGAGAGGACTTCTGCTTTTGAGCACCTCCTCCTCAGATGCCACAACACTGACCTCATGGATTTTGGGCTGCAGTTTTTGCACCTCCAAGAGCATTCAGTGCATCAAGTAGGCAATGGTTTCATCTTCTGTGATTAGATATGGACTGGTATCTCTGGGACAGTTGCCAGGAACTTTTACAGAGAAACTGAAATCCATGGAGCTTACTTGCCAGAGCCTAGACGCCAAGGAACAGGCAGGGGTTGTTTTAGCCTGACAGCCCTAGGGAGAGATTTGTGGCCTTTACCCAGGACTCTGTGCTGTTCAGATTAGGGTGTTTATCCTGCCCCATTCTTCACACCATTGTGCCAGTCTTGGAGCTAGTCTACCAACAAACTCATTATAAGCTTTTGTTCTTCTAACCTGTAAATCGAGGACATTGCACAAGTACCTTCGACATTATTACTGTAATTGTTTCCCTAGTCCCCTTAGATGGAAGGGTGGTGAAGAGCAGATAGCAGAGGTGGAAGTAACGTGGAAGAGAAAAGGAGTGTGACTCTGTGTACGTAAAACGCTCTACAAACCATGAAATGTTGGTCAGAGATGATGGTTTTCTTCATTTAAAATACCCTTTTAAAAAAATTGAAGTATACTTATAGAAAATTATGCTAATTTTAAGTGTACAGCTAAGTGTGTTTTTAAGTATTCACCTACCACCAAGATCAACACTTAGAACATTTCCATTCTCCCCATAATGCTCCCTTTTACCCCTTCCCAGCCAGTCCCCTCCTCTCTCTGGCCAGTGGTAGTCACTCTTATCACTTCTTGAAATGATGGTAATTTTTATTGGAGGGAAAGTAGAGCTGGTTGCCTGGCTGCAGGGTGGAAGATGGGGTAGGGGAGTGTGATTCCGCGAGTATTAATAAATGCAGTTTTGTCAAAAACAAGAAAAGCTTGGGAGATTGTGGGATGACCTGATGGGGACTATTAATTGGGCCGAGAGGGCTGCCGGTGAGGTGGGTTGGTGTACCCAGCCTGCTACCTGCAATTCTTGTCTAATTTGAGTTGGTGGGATGGCTACCATTGGCATGGAGGTACCATGTGGCCCTGCCAGGTATATTGCCCCAGCAAGTCCATCCTATTCTCTCTGTCCGCCTGACTTGCTTTAACCAGAGAAGCTCTGCTCTTTTCTGTGTTAAACAGGTTGGCTTATACCAGGGTTTCTCAACAGTGGTACTATTGACTTTTTGAGCCGGACAGTTCTTTGTTATGGGGAGCTGTCCTGTGCATTGTGGGATGTTTTTTGACCTGGACAGTTCTTTGTTATGGGGAGCTGTCCTGTACATTGTGGGATGTTTTGCAGTGTCCCTGGCCTGTACCCACTAGATGCCAGTAGCACTTCCTAGTTGTGACCATCAGAAAGGTCTCCAGACATTGTCCCTGCTGGACAGAATTGCCCCTTATTGAGAATCCCTTGCTTACGCATAAGGTGCTGTTTGAAGAGAGGGTTCCATGGCTTTGCGTTTCCCTCCACATTGGAGCCAGCCTGTCCTGCCTTGTTCTTTTTAGAAGAAGGACCTGTATATTTGGAATTGAAAAATGTATAATGTATATTTACCTTTTTTCTATCGACTACAGGGCTGTTGATAATCAGGTGTATGTGGCCACTGCATCTCTTGCCCGGGATGACAAAGCCTCCTACGTTGCATGGGGACACAGCACTGTTGTGAATCCTTGGTGAGTGGCTGCATGGGGACAGGCTCTCTGGGTACTTGGGAGAGGTGGCACGTGGGCAGGTGGAGTGTCTGATTCCTGACCAGTCCTGCCTCCACCCCTCACTCCACTTCCCCACATGTCCGGCCAATTTTCTCCCTCTCTCTCCGAGAAGCTCTTAACTGTTCCGCTTGAAAATACATGAGAACAAAATTGTCCTGTGCTCCTGACTGAGTGTTTAGCCTCCACCCTCTCCTGAATGTCTAAGTGGCTTTCACTGTCGGTCAGACTTGGGTCATGCGGTGTGATAGGTGGTTTTTGTCAGAGAGACTCCTGGCCCTGGGATTTTGGTTAACGTTTAAGCTGGGTGACTGATCCTAGGGCAGGAATGAGTTCAGGGTGAGGACTTTGCTCCCGGCATGATGATTGGAAGAGGGTTTCAATTAAGGGAACCCATGAACCTGTCCCCTCTGAAAGGTAAAGCATCTTATTATATGCAGTGAGACCAGCACGTAAGTCTGCTCAGATTCACATACGATTACAGGCATATGTTATGGTCTGCACTTGTATACTTGACAGAGAAGAGTCCCTGGGGGGTGCAAATGGTTCACATGCTTGGCTGCTAACCAAAAGGTTGGCGGTTCAACAAGAGAGAGTCCCTGATGGAGAAGGAGAAAGTTGGGGTGCAGAACTCAAATTCTAATAAGAAGACCAGACTTAATGGTCTGACTGAGACTGGAGGAACCCTGGAAAGCATGGCCCCTGGATTCTCTTTCAGCCCAGAACTAAAACAGTTACCGAGGCCAACTCTTCAGACGGGGATTGGACTGTCCTGTGGGACATAAAGTGATGCTCATGAGGAGTGTGCCTCTTAGCTCAAGTAGATACAAGAGACTGGGCAGCTTCTGTCCGGAGGTGAGATGGGAAGGCAAAGAGGGTTAGGAGTTTGTTGAATGGACATGTGGAATTGGGTGGAAAGGAGGAGTGTGCTGTCACAGTATGGGGAGAGCAATTAGGATCATATAACAATGTATGTATAAATATTTGTATGGGAGACTAACTTGAAATGTAAACTTCATTTAAACTACAACAATTTAAAAAAAAAAAAAAGAAAGGTTGGAAGTTCAAATCTACCCAGAGGTGCCTCGGAAGAAAGGCCTGGTGATCTCCTGAAAACCAGTTGTTAAAACCCCAAGGAGCCCAGTTCTTCTCTGATACACATGGGGTCGCCACGCGTCGGGATCATTTTGATGGCAACTGGTGTTTTTAACTTCTTATACATCTGTGTGAACACACACAGGTTGATAGGTATTTTTACAGTTTCAGGTTAAATGTGTCAGTAACATGACCACAAAGGGTTAAATCTCACTGTGGGGCTTTAGTGTGTGTGATGGGGAAGACCCTGGAAGGTGTGACTAGGGAGGAGTCTCAGCGATCCCCTGCATGTCAGGGTTTAGGGGTACTGGAAGAGTGGGAGGATTAAGTTGGCTTGAAAATTTTCTTGAACTTGATCAAAGTTTCTCTGTCCAGACGTCAGCAATAGGCTTCTGGCCTCTGTCCCTGGGGCCACCTTGCTCATTTCCTTGATGAGTTCTGTCAGTGACAGAGCGGGCTGCTTCTGACGTGCAGTAGTTGGATATGATTCACCTTTATTTATTCCTTTTAGAAGTCCATCTTTAGGGTTTTGGGGCCCCTCTGGCTTATATTGACGTTGGAGTGGGTGCCTGCAGTTGATGATAAATTGGTCTTTGAATGCCAGGAAAGAAATAGAGAAGGAGCGCGTTAAATGGCATTAATGATGGTGTTTGTAGCTCACGTGGGCCACATCTCTGCTTGTGGCTGTGTAGTAAATGGAACCAGGTATTACGTCAGATGGTTTGTTAACGTCAGTCTACTTTGTTTTGTGCTTTGGAGAAATTTCATTTTACCCACGTGTGTGTTTGAATTCCCCGCTCTGGGCCTTGTCGGTCCATCGCTGCCACTGTTTCCCTGTATGATCCAAGTCTGACTGACAGTGAGAGCCCCGAGTGGGTTTGCAGTCCAGCCTTTCCCCGGGCGTACGAAGGAGCGTTTCCTGCTGTGGGGCTCCTGCCGGCGTGCGGTTCCTCACCACTTCTACCCAGACCCCGACTTGAAATCTTCCTCTCAAATCTTTTTTTTTTTTTTTTTTAATTGTGCTTTAGGTGAAAGTTTACAGCTTAAGTTAATTTCTCATACACAAATTTATACACCTATTGTTCTGTGACATTAGTTGCATCCCCTCAAATCTTAAACTGAAACCAGTTGATGCAGAAATCCAGGGATTGCAGGCACAAAGCCAAGGATCCCAGCAGATCTGAGCCCTGTCCAGGCCCGGCCTCACCGTTCCCAGGGTTGGGGAACAGCCCTGGAGGCAGGAAGGAGGTCCAGACTGCCCTCGTAAAGGGATTTCCCTGAGATGCACTGAAGCGAGGGCAGGATGGAGCTTTCTGTCGGTTATAGGTAGCTCTATTACCAGATACTTATAATCATACAGTATGGCTCCTAGCAGTTTACAGCCTACAAAATGAACTCCGTAATTTTCTCACTAAATTCTCACAGAGCTCTTCTGTCTACTTTGTAGACTAGGAAATGGAGACTACAAACGACTTGCAACTGGGTCACGCAGCTAGTTAAGTGGTAGAACAGGGACTTATATCTCTACCTTATAGTTTTAAATCTCGGATTCTTTACCCTTTGCCCTGTGAGATGGGGAGAAAAAACAGCGAGATTGTGAATATCAACAAACACCAGTGAGTCCCTCATTTTACCTTGAATCTTTTTCAGGGGGGAGGTCCTAGCCAGAGCTGGCCCCGAGGAAACAATCGTGTATTCAGACATAGGTAAGATGCACCCTGGCACAATTTAGGTCTTTGATGTCCCATCGCGCTGATGCCAGTGCTCATGGCTGCAAAGCTCCTGCCACCTGCTGGGGCTCCCTCAGGCCCCTCCTCATTCATCCTCCCAGATGTTCGAGAGCCTGGTCCTCTGGCCAAGCCCAGGGCTGTAGCTCAGCTTGAGTTTTCTTAGTTTGGGCTGAAATGACTAGAGCCAGTGCTAGGCTCTCTCTGCTTCCAGACAAGGCCCGTGTCACTGAGCCACCTGCGCAGACTCTGGTTGTTTGTACACTGTGTGGGGACAACATCTCCCTAGTTAGTGAGGAGTTGCATCTTATTAATAGCGCACTTTCCTGATTTCACAGATCTGAAGAAGCTGGCTGAGATACGCCAGCAAATCCCCATTTTTAGCCAGAAGCGATCCGACCTCTATGCGGTGGAGGCAAAAAAGCTCTGAAGTTTAGTTTCCAGTGTGTCACGGAACAAGAAGATATGATTCTGGAACATAATCAACTCCCTACTGAATTTTTTAATGGAGATTCCCCCGTCCCTCCTTTTTTTAATTTTCATCCTTTCCCTCCCTGGGAGCTTTCTCTTGAGGTGATAGAGTATCAAACCCAAAACATACTGCTGTCGAGCGATTCCAACTCATTACAACCCTGTAGGACAGAGTAGAACTGCCTGTAGTATTTCCAAGGCCATAATCTTTATGAGCGCTGACTGCCGTATCTTTCTCCTGCGGAACGGCTGGTGGGTTCGAACCATTGACCGTTTGGTTCACAGCTGAGCACTTAACCACCACACCACCAGGGCTCCTTTGACAGAGTACAAAAAAAAAAAAACAGAAAAAAACCAAGCACATATTAAATAGTTACATTTGTGTGGGTCACTTAGGAAGAGTCAGACTGGCATTGAAGAGCCCACGGAGGGGGCTGCCTCTAAAGCTTCCACACTTATAAGTTGCCTCCGAGCAATTGGTAAAAGCACCAGATCTTGGTATCCTGGTGGTTGATTCACCTAATACAAATACATTAGTGTCATGAGTGTTTCACCCCACTTGCTGGAGTTGGAACCCATTATCTGGAAAACTTGGTCTGATGCTACTCTTTTCTAAGCAGTGCCTTCAAAGTTACATTTTTGCCCATGAGTTAACTGTGGGAACCAAGATGATGGGTCCTTGGTGGTGCCAGAGAAAGTGGTAGCCCCACCCTTCCTAGCAACCTTTTGGGCTCTGCAGATTGAAGAAGGAGCTAATGATTCAACCCCAGGCCCTTCTGGTCTTGAGAGAAAGACTGTGTCAACAGTGAGCCCATGGGAGAATGGCAGTAGTGGCATCTAGGGAAGGCAACTAAAGTATGAATCACTGCAAAAGATTTTCTGGGTAGTGCTGAGTGTCGTGACAGAGTCTTCTTCTTTCTGCTTTTCTCCCTAGCAACATTTTCTAGCTCCATAGAGAAAGGCACGTTTTTAGCCTTATTATCAATCCTCTACTTTAGCAGTTCTTAAACTTTGTAGTGTCAGGATCCTTTTGTGCTGTTAAAAAGGACTCCAGTAAGCCTTCATTTATGTAGGTGATAGCTAGTGGTAGACTGGTAAACGCTCAACAGCCAGTTGTCCAAGAAAATATCCCGATTTATAGTAGCATCTGCCAATTTCCATGGTATAAATACATCCAGTATGGCCAAGTTCAAGTTATCGACATGCATAGGAACAGATGCACACAGTCAACTCTTGTGAGCTGGTACAGTCCTGCTGTGCTAGCACACCTGGTTATCTTTATAGATATTTGCCATATTGGAAAATAAAATTTTAAAACAAAAGAACATAGGAGCACGCATTCCTTTAGCTTTAAGAGTGACTGTGACATCATGCATCATTTAATCTCTGGAAAACAGCACTGTGTACTCAGAGTAAAAAAGGCAAATGACTTTTTTTAATTAAGTGTACAGTTTGGTAAAGTTTGACATGTGTGCACCAATGAAACCAGGACAATCAGGGTAATGAACATATCCTCTACCCCCAAAAGGTGCCTTGTGTTCTTTTATAATCCCTCCGGCCACTCCATCCCAGGCAACACTCATCTGCTTTGTCACTGTAGATTAGTCTGCATATTCTAGAATTAGGTGTATGTGGAATCAGACAGTATGTATACTTCTTTGTCTTCTTTCAGCATAATTACTTGGAAGTTTGTCCATGTTGTGTGCGTCGGTAATTCATGCCTTTTGTATTAAGTAGTATTCCGCTATAAGGTCATACACATTTTGTTTACCAGTTCACATTTGAATTGTTTCCACTTTTTGACTGTTACAAATTAAGCTACTAGAAGCAGTTGTGTACAGGTCTTTCACTTCTCTTGAGTAAATATCTAGGTGAAATGATGGGGTCATATGGTATGGGTGTGTTTAACCGCCAGCTGTTTCCCAAAGCTGTTGTACATGGCTCCCAGCAGTCTGCCAGAGTCCCACTTCCTCCACACCCTCTCCAACGTTTGGTATAATTAAGTCTTTTAATTTTAGCCATTTTAATGGGAATGTAATGTTATTTCACTGTGGTTTTAATTTGTATTTCCCTAATGACTAATGGTGTTGAACATCTTTTCATGTGCATCTTTGGTGAAGTGTCTGTTCATACCTTTTGCCCATATTTTTATTAGGTGGTTTATCCTCTTATGAGTAATAAGAGTTCTTTATGTATTTTAGATATATAAATCTTTGTCTGGTATATGTTTTGCAAATATTTTCTCCTAGCCTGAGAAAAATTGCCTTTTCATTTCCTTAAAAGTAGTGTTGGAAGAGCAAAAGCTTTAATTTCGATGAAGACAGATTTTTTTTTTTCTTTCAAAGTTTGCGCTTTTAGGTTGCATTTAAGTACAGGTAGTCCTCGACTTACAACCTGTTCGTGTTAAGGCAAATCACATTTATGACTGACAGTTTTTGTTTTTGTTTGTATATCTTATCATTCATAATATGTACTACCTACAGTGTTGCAGCATGTAATTTGCTGATGTTATTCTCAGATGTTCACTTGCAGATGTTCAAAAATTGGACTTATAAAGGTATTGATAATAAAAGGTAATAATGAAAACTTAAAAAAAAAAAAGGTATTTGACTTACATTGAGAACTGACTTATGACAGAGTCATTGGATGGAACTTCGTTGTAAGTCAAGGGCTACCTGTAATCATTTCTAAACCCAAGGTTTACAAAACTTCAAACCTGTGTTTAAACATAAAATAAATAAGACTTTATTCTGTGTTTACTTTTAGAAGTTTTATAGTTTTAGCTCTTACATTTAGGTCTGTGATCCATTTTGAGTTGTTATTTTTTGTGTATGGCATAAGAGTCAAGATTATTCCCCCTCCCCCTTTTTTTTTTGGCATTTGTCCATCCATTTGTTCCAGCACCATTTGTTGGAAAGATTATCCTATCTCTATTGAAGAGGGCCCTAGATACAAACGGTTTGTGCTCAGCTACTAACCTAAAGGTTGTCAGTTTGAACCCACCAGGGCTGTCATGGAAGAAAGGCCTGGCAATCTGCTTCAGTAAAAATTGCAGCCAAGAAAACCCTATGGAGCAGTCCTACTTGGTAACTTGGGGGGTTTCCATGAGTCAGAATCGACAGCAACAAGTGTAGGTTTTTTTTTTGGTATCCCCATTCAATTGCCCTGGTACTTGTATAAGAAACGAGTTGACCATACAGGTAGTCCTCGACTTACAAAGGGGTTCTGTTCCTATGACTCTGTTGTAAATCAGTTCTGACGTAAGTCGAATACCTTTTTTTTTTTTTAGTTTCCAATATTACTGCCTTTTATTATCAGTATCTTTATAAGTCTGATTTTTATTTGTCTAAGGATTGGAAACATTACATATAAACTTACAGGTGTATTTTAATACATACATACATAAAAAATACACAAATCGTAAAAACTTACTCCAATGATGAAGAAGAGTTGGACGACATTGGCATTTTGTCAGTTGCAGTAATAACTCCACTTGTGGAAGGTTCTGGACCATCTGGATTATCCCTGGGAATGAGGATGGCGTTTCTATTAAGAAAATTAGTGAGAGTTGTCTGTGTGGTCCTTTTCTTTTTTTCTCCATATATTTCATGGTAACATCTCACTGCTGCCCAAATCTGCCTGTTGACTTTAGCAAAACAATCAGTATTTGAGTCTGTATTTTCAAGCAACTGAAGCCCCTGATTTAGTTTAGAAAAACTTCAGCTAATCCTTTTACCATAAAATTTTTTGACAACTTCTGTTTCCTCTTCCTCATTACTTTCTTCAGCATTTCTTTCCTCTGCTATATGGCAGTGTTTTAAACAGTAAATCATAAAATTGAACATCCGTGAGTGAACATCTGAGAATGATAACATCAACAAATTATGCACTGCAGCACTGTGTAGTACATATTACTAATGATAAGAGCTACTGTCATGGATTAAATTATGTCCTCCAAAAAACGTGTGTATCAATTTGGCTAGGCCATGATAGCCAGTATTACGTGGTTGTCCCCCATTTTGTGCTTGTAATTTTACGTTAAAGAGGATTAGGGTGGGATTGTAACACCACCCTTACCCAGGTCACATCCCTGATCCAATGTAAAGGGCGTTTCCTTGGTGTGTGGCCTGCACCACCTTTCATCTCTCAAGAGATGAAAGGGAAGCAAGCAGAGAGTTAGGGACCTCATACCACCAAGAAAACAGTGCTGGGAGCAGAGCGGACCTGAGGTTCCTGCACTGAGATGCTCCCAGACCAAGGGAAGACTGATGCCAAGGACCTTTCTCCAGAGCCAACAGAGAAGAGAAAAGCCTTCGCCTGGAGCTGACACCCTGAATTTGGACTTGGAGCCAACTGAACTGTGAGAAAATAAATTTCTCTTTGTTAAAGCCATCCGCTTGTGGTCTTTCTGTTATAGCAGCACTAGATGACTAAGAAATGTACAAAAAGAAAAAGGTTGTAAGTGGTTCATCATAACTCGAATACGTCATAAGTCGGGGACTACCTGTATATATCTGGGTCTATTTCTGGACCCTCTTCTATTTCATTGATCTATTTGTCTATCTTTACACTAGCTTAACTTAACTGTGCTTATTACTGTAGCTTTTATAATGAGTCTTGAAATCAGGTAGTGTTAGTCCTTCAACCTTTTTCCAAAATTGTTGAACTAAGTCCTTTGTATGTCCATGTAAGTTTCAGAGTCAGCTGTAAATTAAATTTCTACCCAAAAAAGCCTGTTGGAATTTTGATTGGGATTGCATTGAATCTATAGAGCAATTTGGCAGAAAATTGACATCTTAATAATATTGAACCTTCCGATTCATGAGCATGAGATATCTCTTATTTAGGCCTTTAATTTCTCTGAGCAGTGTTTGGTAGTTTTAGTATAAAGAGGTATTGCAAATCTTTTTTCAGATTTATCCTAAGGAATACAGATTTTTTGATGCCATGATATTGTTTCTAAACTTCAGTTTCCAATTGTTCATTGCTAATATATAGAATACAATTTATTTTTGTATATTGTTCTTGTATCCTGAAACCT